CACCGAGTGTAGACACGTGGCTGTGCTACTTTTTTTAATAAAAAAAGAACCCCCTAGCAATTAGGCACCACGTGTCAAAATAAGTATTGCCACATGGCTATACTATTTACATACATTATATTTAAAAGATATAGCTCTGAGGCTATATAATTTAATATAAAAAAATTAATAAAAAACCACCCTCCTAGTTGCATTAGTTTATACTTTATAGATATTTCATAATTCTCTACCTTTTGCTTTATATATATATATATATATATATATTAATTTGCTAGTTTTTACATATCCCAAGTAGATATTGATCGGCCACTATATAATATTTTAATATATATTATTGTTATTCAATAATGTGTGAGAATTATTTGTATAATACGTGAATTGTGTATGTTTTATTGAAAATTTTATAAAACATATGTGTATTAAATATGAAAAATATGTACATACATGTACAATACAAGTATCATACATTTGGTTTTTTTTTAAACGTGAATTTTACCAAATCTTTAAGACGCATACGAATATTTAAAGAGTATAACAAAGCTATATTCTGTAAATATAGTAAATTTAATTATTTAAATAGTATAACTGTGCTACTATCCTTGTTAAATATAATAAATAATAAAGGCTGCATTTAAATTTTGCACAAGTCATTTCACGACCGACCTGTTTGTTCATGTCGGTACCTATCCACAATTTAAATGCCATAACCCAGTCCCAGTGTAATGTACTAAATCACTCATGGGATGACGGCTGGCTGGCAACTGTATAAGATTGTCCATTACACAAAAGCAGTTCATGTGGCCTTAAAGCCACGTATAGCACATACTAGCTACGTGGCAGAAAACTAGACGTTGTTGGTTATTTGGGACGTGTCTCGCTCAGAGAGCGCCAGAGTGTTGCATTGCAAAGGCGGCAGAACCCACTGTTAAAGCACCCTCTATAAACCTTTGGTTTCCCTCATCTGTTTTTGCAACTCTCTGTTCTGCAACTTACTTGCAAAAGCACAACACAAAATCAGTTTTTTAATTGCGATTAATCATAATATTTTCACGGATTTGAACAATGGATTCTCATATAGTTCATCCTCATGATCAGGAGCACAACAGGGACCCCCAACATCTTGGTACACACCAAGGTAAAAACCTCATTATCCTACAAATGTTTGTCTTTAATTTTTTTCAAATGTCGGTTTGGTTTTCTATCTGTTAATGTGAGTATCTTTGTGCGGTTGGTTGAAGGCGAAGATGAGGATCACCATGAGAAGAAGTCGGTTTTGATGAAGGTGAAGGAGAAGGCAAAGAAGATAAAGAACACCCTCAAAAAGCATGGCCATGGCCAAGATCATCAGGAAGGTCATATCCCTGATGATCATGATCTGGATGAGAAAGATGATGAAGGAGGCGAAGACGCAAAAATGCATGGTGCAACAAGTAAGTTGCTTTGCGCTTGATTTCATTTCGACACATTAATGAATGATCAAGATTAAATTACCAAATTAGTCATATATTATGTGCAGCAATTAGGAGCGGTGTTCCTGATCAAGGAGACATTTTGAAGGTGCCTCTGGTCAAATTTGGAGACACCAAAGCCATGCATGATGATCCTGTTGGGTCAAATTTGGAGAGGACCGACGTCAAAATTAGTGATCCCAAGAGGGATTATGTGCAACCAGAACCAGGGGTGGTGCTAATGCAGGAAGATGTTCTTGAGCCAACGGATTACAGTGGCTCAACAATGGGATCTGTTCTTGGTGGGCATGAAGAAATTTCAGGGCAACCCAATGTTAATTTTGGAAAAACATCAGAAATGGGGGGAGGACTTCATGCCCCACAGAATACCCCTGTTTCTTCTTTGGGAGAGTACAAGTCCAAGATTACTGACCCAGGTCACACTTCTGCTCATGGGAAGGAAGGGCATTTAGGTCAATCCAGGGTGGACACCACCCCTGTTTCTTCTTTGGGAGAGTATAAGTCCAAGGTCAGTGACCCAAGTCAAACTTTTCCTCATGGGAAGGAAGGGCATTTAGGTCAATCCAGGTTGGACACCACCCCTGTTTCTTCTTTGGGATCCAAGGTCACTGACCCAAGTCACACTTTGGCTCATGGGAAGGAAGGGCATTTAGGTCAATCCAGGGTGGACACCACTCCTGTTTCTTCTTTGGGAGAGTACGAGTCCAAGGTCACTGACCCAAGTCAAACTTTTGCTCATGGGAAGGAAGGGCATTTAGGTCAATCCAGGGTGGACACCACCCCTGTTTCTTCTTTGGGAGAGTCCAAGGTCAGTGACCCAAGTCAAACTTTTGCTCATGGGAAGGGAGGGCATTTAGGTCAATCCAGGGTGGACACCACCCCTGCTTCTTCTTTGGGAGAGCACAAGTCCAAGGTCACTGACCCAAGTCCAAGGTCAGTGACCCAAGTCAAACTTTTCCTCATGGGAAGGAAGGGCATGGGAAGGAAGGGCATTTAGGTCAATTCAGGTTGGACACCACCCCTGTTTCTTCTTTGGGAGAATATAAGTCCAAGGTCACTGACCCAAGTCAAACTTTTCCTCATGGGAAGGAAGGGCATTTAGGTCAATCCAGGGTGGACACCACCCCTGCTTCTTCTTTGGGAGAGCACAAGTCCAAGGTCACTGACCCAAGTCAAACTTTTGCTTCAGGGAACGAAGGGCATTTAGGGCAATCCAGGGTCAATTTGGACCGACCAAGAGGATTGGAAGAGGATCCTTATCCACAGGCACATACTCCTTCAAATTATCAGAACAAAGTCACTGATCCAACTAATGCAGGTAATTGTGGAATATTATATATTATCTCTTTATCTTTTGCTACAAAATAATTTGTGATTCCATAACATGTGACAGGTGGTGAAGATGTAGGAATTACGCCAATTCGTCAGTCCCTTGATAAGTTGAATATCCATGCTGGAACTGAGCAGAGCAGCTACACAGACAAGGCAATCTCTGCAAAAAATGTTGTTGCTTCCATGCTGGGATATGGGGGGAACAATGATCAACATGGAGATATTAAACCTCAGGCTTGTACTGCTTCAAGTAATGCAGGTAAGTTCTTTAGGACTAATAATGGCCCTTGTGGTTATGGCTTAATCTGTTTTAGACTAAGCAAAACATGTTTATGTTTTTGTTACTGCAAATCAATTTCCTATTTCCTAACATGGGCCTTCTGATTATGGCCTATTTGTTTTTAGACGAAGGACTTATTTCCTAACATGTTACAGGTGGTGGTGGTGATGAACAAAAACCACACCAAAATCTGAGCACTGGAAGCCATGACCAGTTTTCTGCTGAGAGACCATCAAACCAGAGCAGCACCTATACTGAGAAAGTTTCATCTGCCACATCTGCTATAGCCAACAAGGCAATATCTGCTAAGAACGTCGTCGCTTCCACACTCGGGTATGGAGGGAACAATGATGATGATGATGATCAGGAGGTTACAGCAAAGCCTGGTGGATCAACGTCGCCTGAGCAGCATGATAAAGGAGTTTCAGAAAGCAAAGCCGGCCAAGAAAAAGGAGTTTCTGTGAAGGACTATTTTGCTGAGAAGTTGAAGCCTGGCGAGGAGGACAGGGCTCTTTCTGAGGTGATATCAGAATCTCTGCATAAGCGCAAGGCAGAGGACTCTGCTCGGCCTGTGGGGAAGGTGACCGAGTCGGAGGAGGTGACGAGGCGCTTGGGTCCAGATTGTGGAATTGAGAGGGTTGAGCAATCTAGCTATGGGAAGATTGTTTCTGATACGGTTAAAGGCGCTGTTGGTTCATTGTTTGGGAAAGCTGATGAAAACCCTTCTTCTCAGCAGTCCACTGGTTCTGCAACAGGTAACAACTTGCGACATTTGTTCAAATTTAATCAGAAAATAATTAAATTTAGTGGTTTCGTTGTTTGATAACAATATTGCGGTTCCATTTTGGTGGTTTCGTTGGCAGGTGGTACAGATGGTTTACCTAGTTCTGGAAGTGGGGCAGCAGAGCACCCAAGTCTTCAGGGGTCGGGCAAATGAATGGAAGTTTGTGTTGGTGAATAAATTAATCCGAGACTAGAGAGATGGGATTATTTGAAGTTTGTTTTTGTATGGGGTGTTATAATGGTGTTTGACAATGACAACCGACAAGGATTGTGTGTTGTTGATTGTCAATTCCAACGTTTCAAAAATGTTTGCCGTGTGTATAATATGTATGATGAAAACAGGGGATAATCTGTTTCAGTTTCAACGTAGAATTATTCTTGCAGTTCTCAAATATTTGGGTCACTCTGTTTTCATTTTTGCAATAAAATGACAAAATTTCCTCATTTTCTGAGCAGCTAAACACTCAAAAACATCGATATCCCCAACAAACGAATCCAGCTAAAATTTCTTCAAACAGAATACATAAATCCAAGTGTTACCTAATCAATTAGGAAAGATGATAATCAAATTACGTCATACAAAGTCAAATCGCCAAACAAATCAAAGCCGTTGTGTGAGAATATAAATTTCGTCACAGAAGCAAAAATTTTATATGAATCAAAGCCTTAAGTAGACTATAATCTCTAGTTTATCCAACAACTGATCAGTGTGATATCTTAAACTAAACCCCAACACCTAACAACCGACATGAGATTAATCCTAAATAACTAACGAGCATATCATATTTACAATCTAATTTTCAACCATTTTTTCTTTATTCTTTTGACACAAGCCATATTGGAGAGGTAAAAAAAATCAAACCTAGAACCTTGAGTGCATGATAAATGCTCTTTAATTACTTGAGCTACAAATTCATTACTTTTTATAATATTACAAAATCGGGTGCATGATAAATGCTCTTTAATTACTTGAGCTACAAATTCATTACTTTTTATAATATTTATTTTTCACAAAGAGAAAATACAAAAGTTAAATTTAGCCTAGTATTTAATTTAAATTAACAAAAAAAAAAGTAAAACTAGTCTAGTGTTAAAAAACAAAAAACTCTCTCTTTACAAGCGTGTCGTATGGTAAGTGGAGCTTTACAGGGTGACTCTACTATCGGAACAGAGAATCCCTTTCCTCTCCCCTTCTCTCAAAGGGGGTTTTCTCTCCTCCAGCTTCAATAGTTGAATTCCTCACTTGCGACAGCTAAAACCCTGGCGGGACTTCGGAGCCAAGCTTCAAGAGACTGATATCGCCTTTATCAGATTGCTTAATTCCAGGTAACTCAAAGTCCTCCTTCGTCTTCTTTCACACTTTGGAGATAGGCAGCTCAATGAACTGCCTCTGCTCGATTCACTACTGTTTGCGCAATTTGATCCCTCCAGTTTAATGGGCATCCATCAATTTGAGAATTCACAGCTTTTAAAGTTCTGCGTCCTTTTAATTATCGTTTTATTGGTGTGTTTCTTGGATTTCTTAAGTACTGTAAAGTTGCAGAGATAATGGGTACCAACCATGAACTGTATATCTCTGTTTGGTCCAAGGGTTATTCAAAAGATTTCGTGTTATGTTGTCGTAGCACGAAAATTAAGTGATGGATGCTTTGGTGGGAATAAAGGGGATAATGGGCATGAGTTTATAGAGGAACCCTTGAAGAGAATATGGAGAAGTTCGGATTTTGATTCAGTTTTAGATGAGAAACAGAATGTTCATGAGTATGAGAACCATCCCCGGGAGTATTTCTCGCTGAGACGGAGTTTTTTTGAGAATGCAAAGATTCATACCAGGAGGGTTCTTGAAGTTCTTCAACAAGATGGCCCTGGGTTTGATACAAAAGCGGCTTTGGATGAGTTGCATATAGAGGTTTCAGGGCTTCTTGTGAGGGAAGTTCTCTTCAAAATTTTGAAACAAGTAAATTATGCGAGTAAAATGCGGTGTGCAAAGTTGGGGTATAAGTTTTTTGTGTGGTCTGGCCAGCTTGAAAATTACAGGCACACAGCAAACACGTATCATTTAATGATGAAGATATTTGCAGATTGTGAGGAGTTTAAAGCAATGTGGAGGCTAGTTGATGAGATGATTGAGAAAGGGTATCCAACTACAGCACAAACGTTCAACATCTTGATACGCACTTGTGGCGAGGCAGGCTTAGCTAAGAAAGTTGTGGAAAGATTCATCAAATCAAAGACATTTAACTATAGGCCATTTAAACACTCATACAATGCAATTTTGCACTCCCTTGTTGTGGTGAAGCAGTACAAGTTGATTGAGTGGGTATATCAACAGATGTTGGCAGACGGTCACTGCGCAGATACTCTAACTTACAATGTTATGATGTATGCAAAATATAGATTGGGGAAGCTGGATCAATTTCACAGACTCCTTGAAGAAATGGGCAGGAGTGGATTCGCTCCAGATTTTCATACTTACAATATTCTTCTTCATGTCCTTGGTAAGGGAGACAAGCCACTTGCTGCGCTTAATCTCTTGAACCACATGAAGGAAGTCGGTTTCGATCCAAGTGTTCTTCACTTCACAACATTGATAGATGGACTAAGCAGAGCTGGAAATTTGGATGCCTGCAAGTATTTTTTTGATGAGATGATAAAGCATGAGTGCTTTCCTGATGTTGTTTGTTATACTGTAATGATATCGGGGTATATCGTGGCTGGGGAGCTTGAGAAGGCTCAAGGGGTGTTTGATGAGATGATCCCTAATGGGCAGCTTCCAAATGTATTTACATACAATGCTATGATTCGTGGGCTTTGTATGGCAGGGAAGTTTGAGGAAGCATGCTCCATGCTTCAGGATATGGAATCCAGAGGCTGCAATCCGAATTTCACCGTATACAGCACCCTAGTAAGTTATTTGCGAAATGCTGGGAAGCTTGCCGAAGCTCATGAAGTAATAACACATATGGTGGAGAAGGGGCAGTATACCCATCTACTTTCAAAGTTCAAGGGATATAGGAGATGTTGAAGCTGTAGATTATGGTATTCGCAGTATTCACTTGCAATCTCATAAGAAGAAACTAATTGATCCAGCTCAGTTGACATTATGTAGCACCTGGCTATCTCAGTTTGACCTTGTACCTATAGATAAAGAAACTCATTCATCCAGGGACCAGGTAACATTATGCAGCTCCTGGCTATCTCGGTTACACGATGTACCCACCACAACTTGTTTCTATTGTCTCTGAAGGAAAAAAGTAAAGTATGCACAAGTTATTTTTTCATCGTATTTTTGTAGCGCGAACAGTTTGTCCATGTTTTCTTCCCCTGCATACAGAAATGTCACTATTTTGTTTTTATGGTCTTGTGAAGTCAAAAGAACTAAATAGAGTACCAGACTGGTTTCACTTAGTCGAATGAAGCATACATTATAGGTGCACATATGCATAGCTACATACATTTGTGTTTTTAGTCATATGAAGCAACAAATGGACAGTCCGTTATGTGTTTATGATCATACGAGTAAATTGGGTTTTGTTGCTTTCTCACACATCTTGATATGAGATATGACCTCTGCATTTAACCAAGAACATATTCTATTTCCTGCAATCGTCACGGTTTATATAATACAAAACTGAAAATCATCACCTTTTTTTGGGTCTACTTTTTATATTTTAATTTGGTTTCAAATGGGTTTCGCTGACTAAGATGTTTCCCATTCAAGCATGCGAGTCGATATTTTATGTTGAAAAAACAAGAATCTCAAGCATTTGGCCTAACAAAGACAAATGAATACAAGCCTATGACAGCAGTTGATCCCTTTTTCTTTTCCTACTAATTTTCTCTCTTTAATATATAATTCAATTGCAAATGCTGCAGGCTTAGGCACAAGATTATATGTCCTCTTTCACCTGCCCTCTGGATATAACCAAATACTCAAATCAAATGAGCATCAAGAATTAATCGAGTTTTTTTTTTTGGGTGTGTCAAATTTGAATCAAACACGGCAAACAGACCACAAAGGCACGGGACATGATTCAGCAAACCCATCTCTCAACAATTAAAAATTATATTGAAAAAAGAACAATCAATCAGATTCATGCCAGTCACTCTCTGAAATTCTGAATGGAACGATTATTTTTGTATTTATGTAATTCCCTTTTCAAGTGAGTGCATTGCATGAGGAGGCATGTCTATATCTTGGCTTGGTAGGCGCCACGAAATATGATGCCATTGCCATCCAACAAACAATATATAATTCTGTGCGCTTTTTTCTTCATTTCAAAGATGACAAAATTGACGATCTTATCACCTCCTCTCCTCACCACCACCAAAGCCAATTTGCTTCTCAATCTCTCAACACTTACATATTACATCCATTTGCACTTGTTTTTTTTCTTAATTACATCGCCAATAAATATAAATAAACTCATACATTGCCCATACATCATAGAAAACTTACTGCTTTCCTTCTTGTAAGTAGGAGAAAATTTACCATGAGAGATATTTTTAAAAAACTTGGCTTTTTCATTTTTTCTCCTCCTTCTTCTCCTCCTTTTTCTCTTCTTTCTTTTCCTCTTTTTTCTCCTCTTTCTTTTCTTCTTTTTTCTCTTCCTTTGCGGGGCCAACAGATATTATGTCCACTTTCCCTACCTTCTTTAACTTCTTCACCACTGCCACTGGATCCATCATCCCTACCACTGTTAGCTTTTGGTCCTTTAGATCTGCTGCTATTGAATCAATCCCTGTTCATCAAATCACCAAAAGATTTCAAGCAAAGAAAACAGAGACAGTGGCTAAAACGATGATCTATTTCACATGCAACAGCTGGGACAATAAGTTCTTTTTGGATATTGAAGATGTTAACAAGACTTTGGCGATGAAAAAAGGAAAGAAAGAAAGACATACCAAATATATCAGCGGCAGCTTCAATGGCTTTCTGCTTTGTTTTGTCATCAGTCATAGTCATGACCTTGAGAACCACCTTCTGCTACAAAGTTTAAACGAAAAATTAAACAAGGGTTATAGTATATGTTCTATGGTACATAGATTTTACAATACTGTAAGCATGAAAGATTTAAACTAAATTATTATTGAATTGAAAAGAAAAGGGTATGTTAGAGTTGGAAAAGCACCTGAGCCATCTTTTTCTAAGAGCAAGAATGTAAGAACACAAATGAAAAGGGGAGAGAGAGAGAGAGAATGAAACCAAGAGTAATATTGTTGGTTTTGTGGCCTTTATAATAAAGGGTGAAAAAATGTGAGGTGCAACTGGGCTTGAACTTGGGTTTGGGTTTGGGTTTGGGTGGGTCCTGACTCTTGAATTTGATAGCAAATCTTTTTACCACCTTTGATGAATGTTTGGTAGGAGGGATAATTTTCTTTCACCTGGGTTGGGTAAATCTTTTACTTACGGAATGTTTGGTGAAAATTGCCAACAATGAATGAACATGCAAATGCCAATTCATGTAAAGAATTAGTTACGTAGGCTCTTGGAACACATTTTCCAAATTCTAAAGATTTCCTCCCACGGCCACGTGTGACGTGTGAGGTGTCAAGAAGATGAAATGTCATATCGAATTCCATTTTGAGAATTAGGGTTGATATCACAGAACAGTGGTTGCTGCTTTGGTTGGGGCAAGTTGCCTGGCCTGGCTGGGCTACCTATCCTATAGGAAAGGACGATTCCTTTTTCAAGATCCTATTCAATTCAGAAAAAGATGTAACGCACAACTTTCTTCGCATTTTAAAACTGCAGCATACACTAAAAAAGCAGGCTACATGTGACTTTAATTGAATGTTTGATCTCTGAGTTTAAAAAAAGCCATAATTGAATGTACTTTCAAAGGAGATGGAGATATTTTGAAAGCAAAGGCAGTGAGTGGTGATGAAAATGATGAAGGCAGGAGGAAGAATTCAATTTTTAATCAAACTATTTCCTACTTTTGAATGCTCTTTTTTTTTTTCACAGAAATTTATGGAATATGTTTTTATAAGCAATGACTTAATTAATTTAGTGACTCAAACTCCCCCCCTCCTTCAAGTGCATCCGGATTAAATTCCCGAAGATATGATATCCCCATATTGAATTCCGAATTTTCCAAAAAAAAAGGTGTTAAATGCTTCAATTTCCAAACCCTAAACTTTTGAGATGTACTTAGTCAAAGTAGGTGCTTTATTAAGACGGAGCAAGCAACCAATTAGTTTTCTTCCATTGACCACTTTGCATAACATCTTTTTGTATCCAAAAAATAAAATAAAATAGGCTACTATTTTACGAATAGAACCAAACCAATTCATATTTCCTCACAATAATTCAATCTTTCCGAAATACAAAACTTGCTCATGCTTCTTAAACTACGTTCTTGTAGAAAATGAACAACTCAAACATATCAAAGCACGAGACTAAGGATAAGAAGCAACAAAAGGGAGTTCAAAAATTACAATATAACAAATTAAAGATTAACAATAAGAACCGCTCAAAATTGAAACTATTAATCACATGATGGCGCAGGCATGTGGATTGTCGTCGCTAAAAAGCGAAGCGATGGCCTCATCGGATGCCACGGCGACTGAATAAACTGATGGAGTGTGGAAGAAGGTGTGTACGCCGGTGGTGGTTTCATTTTTGTACGTGTCATAATAATGGTTGACAATGTAGGTAGGGTACTTGTAAAATGAGGCAAAATGAGAGTATCCAGGAAAGGGCCATGGCTCTGCTGCTTTTCCAGCTCGCTTAATTGCCTTCACTACTTTCTTTTCCTCCAACCCATACCCTCTCACAATTACCTTCTGGATCTCCATTTCTATTTCCACCTCCTCCACACCTATTAAAAATGAAAATTACATTTGTCAAAAGTAATTAAAAAACCCTGATTTGGGTTGAACTTTGGGCTCCTTATTCATATCTCCTGAGAGGCTAAATCAGCTTGCTTCAAGCCCAAAAGTGTTGGGTCCATTGTTGTAGGCCTAGAACTCAGTATGACTGGGCCCACCCACAACCCAAAGAAACTGGGGTTGACAAGGAAGAGCATGCGCAGCAGCATGAACTCATAATTTTCTTTCCTTAATTCCCAGTTCAATTGCATTTTGCAAAATGCAGTGAAATGAGTTATATGCCAACTCAAAATAAGTCATTCCTTCTGTAGTTAATTTGTTCCAGAAATATACACACACACATAAATAAGGATGTATTGTAAGTACCTTTGAGTTTGAAGAGAGCTTTCTTTACCTTGGAAGCACATCCTTCACAATCAAGGTTTGGAACTCTCACCTCCACAATCTGCAAAATCTCCACATTGTCAATATATTTGCTTACTTCCACAGTGAGTGCTTTGTGTGTTTGTGCAAGAGAAGAGAGGGAAAGAGAAACTTACAGACATGTTTCTGGTAGCTTCAAGATGAATACAAATACAATGAAGGTAGCAAGAGACGGCCTATAGAGAGGAGAGGGCTTATGACTTATATATGCATATTGGGTTTTGAGAATAATGTTGGAGAGGTAGCATGAGAAAGAGGGTTCACGCGTGAAATGGGAAGGCGTGATTTTGTGCTAGCTAGCTCAAACCCCAAAGCTAATCCTCTTGTTTCTGCTCTCTCTCTCTCTCTTCTGTGTCACTTTAATAACCCACAGACACAGTCCAGTCCACTGTGCATTTTCAATTTCTTTCCATTTGCCAAAACGACACGCTCCACAGGAAGGAATGATGGAGGACACTAATCAAAACCATCATTTTATCCCCCATTTGTATAGGAATATGGCATGGCATGTAGGACCTCACACACTTAATCAAAACCGCCAAGTGGTCCAAGGCTACTTGATTAATTTGTTAATTTCCAATGCTTTGCATTTGATGGGCATTAACATAATAATAACATGCATGTCTCTGTTTTACTTGATTGGTGTTTTTTTTCAAAGAGAAAGGCATCTATGAATTATACGCATCAAGGTCAAGTCCATGTCTCAAAGAAGCTCTGAAGCTCATGAGTAGCTTTTGTTGTTCTGTCTAGCTTCAAGGTTTGTAGAGAACATAACTGAACTCTGCATCAGCTTTAACACTCTGAAAAGAATTTCAGAACATAACAGAATCTGCTTGCTTTCTCAGAATCTGCAGCTTTAAAATTTTAGCTTGTAAAAAATAACATTAAACATGAACTACTTCCTAGAACAATACGCTGGTGAATTCATAAGTTAAAGAACAATACTCAGTAGGTTATGTTGGAATTGCAAGATTTCTGATGGCAAATATTCTTCTCTGTGTTCTGTCTCTTCAAAATCAGAGGATTCATTCTGGTATCGCTTTCAATATTTGAATTTTGGTGTGACATGACATTGTCATTATTTGTAACGCTTCTTTTGGAGCATAATGATCGTGAAAATTTAAGGTGCACACTGCTATTTCTGTCAAACTTTTGGTGCCTTACTTTCTTGTGCCGAACTTTTGGTTACAAGGGGCCCAAGTTACCAACAAATATAAGCATAATTCCTCAAAGACATATGAATTCATGTACATATGTGGATCGATCCAAGTCCAATTAAGGGACGCTAAGCACCTTTCCATTTTAAAGACTTTACGGAAACAACGAAAAGGCCCATCAAGTCCGTTTTCATTTATGCAATAGATAAAGGATCGTAAATAAATCATGCTTTGAAGAACTTAAAAAAGAAGAAGCGAAGGTGGTGGTCAATTGCCAACGCACAACTAAAATTCCAAAAGCAGCAGCAAATCCATGATGAAACAAATGCTAAATGGTAACTCGCACTTTTGTTTGGATTTGAAAATTTGCAATTATCTTTTCAACTTTTCAGCCAAATCAGCTTTGTCGTGTAGCCATCCTATCTATACTAAAAAAATTAAAAAGTTAACATTCTCACGAGACGAGATTCCACTCTTATTTGTTACTTCGTATAGGACTAGTCAATTTCTCTGTTAAATTATGTACAAATTAGTGCCTTTAACTTAGGATTTAAATTACCTTTCTTGGGTAGTCTTTTTGGCTTAATATATTGGCCTTCTTCTGTATTGCAGACACACAAATATACGAGATATTATTTTACAAAAATCTATACTTTGTAAACTCTATTGACCATTATTCATTGCTCCCAATTCCCCACCTCTTGGCTCACTTGTCTAATCTATCCCCTGTCTTTCTTCGGTCCTTCCATTTCCTTTCCGATCTAACTTTTTTTTTATACCTCATTTTCTTTTCAGGGGCACAGTCTCCACCTCCGATCCATTATTAGTCCTTACCTAAACAATACTTTTCATCAGCTCATTTTATTAGGCAACAAGCTCTGTCCACGCTCTATATCTCAGATCCTAGATTCTTAGTCTATGGCTTCTCCTATTACTACTACTACTACTACTACTACTTCTTCTTCTTGTATTAATTCAAATTTCGAACTGAATTAACCAAGAAAGCCTCAACCTTTTCATCAGCTTCAGAGCAACTGCGCCAACTTGTTCTGCTTCATAGAGCCTCAACCAGCCAAAACTGAAGCCAACCCATTTGAGGAAACAAGCACCGCTACTTACCCAGTTTATCAAATCCATGGAATTTGGTTTCTAACAGTGAAATCAGAACCATTGCTGTCTGAGAAGAAGGGGGCAAAAAGTAGTTAATACAAGAAGAGACATGAGATGAGAGAGAACGAGAATATGCAGAGGCTCCAGAGCCAGAGGTGCTACTTGTATGGTCCTTTCGCAGACACCATCTTAATGTTGCGGCCATTTATGAAGTCACCTGCCAGATTTTCTGCTGTCTTCGTCCTCGTCTTCCTCCTCTTCGGTGCTTTCGTCTGCACGCGCTTTCTCAACTCCCCTGTAAGTCCCCTGTTTCCAATATTCCATTTTTTTTTCTTTTTAAAAGATATATGTTTTTTTTTTCTTGTCTTTTAAGTTTTAATTATTCTTTGAAATGGTGGGGATGTCTAGAACTAGAAGGAGGTACACGGCAAACGACGTTCGTCAAAACGGCATGAATCCATGTCGTTTCCATGAGAGTATAATAATATTCTTAGGCGTAACATTTCCCGTGACTGTCGGTTAACGTTTTTCCCGTGGGGCATCATTAATGAGCCACATGTAGTGTTGACTACGTAGCACACGTAGCACGTAGAGCTCCCTTTCTCTTGACAAAAAAGGGAGATTCGAATTTGGATGCAAGGTTACGAGCTTGTTCGTCTAACCGACTCACCTAAACTAGTTTTTATTTGTCAAATGATGATAAATGTGCAATGAAATTTGTGTTAATCCTAATCAAGGTTTATTGAGTAATGCACTGAATATAGAATTTCGTATCGTATATACTATTGGGCCGTTAATATTAACACTGTGCTTCGTGTCACAAACACAAACCCAGATTCTAGTGGATACTTCAGCCGAAGAACCAATAATTACCACCAGAACATCCCAAAAACACCCACTCAACTGCACTGCTTACGACCTCACACGAACCTGCCCGTCAAACTACCCTACTACCACCTCCCACTCGGAGCAAGATCCTGACCGTCCACTACCACCCACTTGTCCGGAATACTTCCGCTGGATACACGAGGACCTCGGGCCATGGGCCCACACGGGGATCACGGGAGACATGGTACAGCAAGCCAAGCGTACGGCCAATTTCAAGTTGGTGATTGTAAATGGGAAAGCTTACGTGGAGAAGTATCAGAAGTCGTTTCAGACCAGAGACGTTTTTACAATGTGGGGGATCCTACAGTTGTTACGGAGGTATCCAGGACAGGTGCCTGATTTGGAGCTCATGTTTGACTGCGTTGACTGGCCAGTAATTTCATCAAACGATTATAGTGGGCCCAATGCCACGGCCCCACCACCGTTGTTCCGCTACTGTGGGGATGACAACTCACTCGATATTGTCTTCCCTGATTGGTCCTTTTGGGGATGGTAAGATTACTGACCTTTATTTTTTTTCCATTTTCGTTGAAATCAAAATTCATGACATTAAATCAATAATGTTGTGATTGAACGAAGCCATGGTTGATGGTCCAAAAAATGAATTTGGCATTGTTAAATGCGCATGTAAATTTGTCAGGTGTCTTAAGAAATTGCATGTAACTTGGCTTGTTCCTTGTGCAGGGCTGAGATCAATATAAAGCCATGGGAGGTTTTGTTAAAGGACCTAGAGGAAGGCAACAAGAGGAAGAGGTGGATAGACAGAGCACCTTATGCTTATTGGAAGGGAAATCCATCTGTTGCTGCAACCAGGCAAGATCTCCTCAAATGTAATGTTTCTGACCAACAGGACTGGAACGCTCGCGTTTACGCTCAGGTACCGTGCCATTACCCTTTTATGCAAGTCCAATATATGTAGTAAAAATGCAGAATCTGAGAATGTCCTTGAAAACCACTTGCAGGATTGGTTACGAGAATCAAGCGAAGGGTACAAGCAATCGGATTTGGCAAGCCAATGCGTTGATAGGTAGAAACATCTTCCCACTATCCCCAGTGTTCATGGTTTAATCATTTTTAATGTGTCCCTAATGTCCTGACTTAGGTTATTCCATGAACAATCATTGCAGGTATAAGATCTACATAGAAGGGTCTGCTTGGTCTGTCAGTGATAAGTACATTCTTGCATGTGATTCTGTCACCTTAATTGTTAAACCCCGCTACTACGATTTCTTCACGAGAAGTTTGATGCCAGTGCACCACTACTGGCCCATAAAGGATGATGACAAATGCAGATCCATTAAGTTTGCTGTTGATTGGGGCAACAGCCACAAGCAAAAGGTAATATGATTTGTTAGGCTTCCATCACTAATTTTTTTTATGTGTCTTAGACTTTTAGCTAAAACATTCTTTAACTTGTCATTTTCACCTAAATTTGACTGTTTTTTAAAGTGTGGCATACATGCTGTTATTTCCAGAAATCATCGTAGAGGGATCATTTTGGACAATGGACTTGGAAACTTTATCATTCCTCATATGAAGTTTTTGTCTTGAGTTCATTGGAATTTCATCTGTCCAGTCATCTGAACATCTCAGTTTATCTTTAGCTTTTGATAACTATGCTGGCAATTTACCGTACTTTCACTACTACTTACGATTGAATTTTCACATGAAAAAGGACAGAAGCTGATCAGGAAATAATGGAGTAACTAACCTCACTTTTCTATGTTCATTTTTTACTAATTGCGTTGCTTTTTCATCGATTGCATTAGGCACAAGCCATTGGAAAAGCAGCAAGTAAATTAATTCAAGAGGAGTTGAGGATGGACTATGTCTATGACTACATGTTTCATCTTCTGAATGAATACGCAAAGCTCTTACAATTCAAGCCAACCATACCTCGAAAAGCTATTGAGCTCTGCTCAGAAGCGATGGCTTGCCAAGCGCAAGGAACAGAGAAGAAATTTATGATGGAATCTTTGGTGAAAAGTCCTGCAGTCAGTAATCCATGCACTATGCCTCCTCCTTACGGTCCGGCATCTCTTTTTGCAGTGCTTAGGAGAAATGCAAATTCAATTAAACAAGTAGAAACTTGGGAGAATAAATACTGGGAGAATCAGAGTAAGCAATCGTAAATAGGTAATATATATCGATGTATACAGATGAATTAGGGTTGAGCAGTTACAGCTCCGAGTATTATTATTAGCAGAAAGATTTTCCACTAAACAAGTATATCACAATTAAATAATCAATATTGGTTGAAGTTTTTGCCCACTTGAAATTATAATTTTTTTCATTCTCTCATTCTCTCATCACACATTTGATGTATCAGGGGGCCTATCATATCAAATCACAACATAGAAAATCAGGTTTCTTGCAGAGCATTAGCACCTAAAATAATGAAGGAAATATTCTCCAAAAAGTGTTAAATGAATTCAAAGTTCAAACTGAATAAACAAAGAAAAACTGAAGAGCTTGAAGGAAAAATGCAGGAACTTGTTCTCGGCCATAGAGCCTCAACCAGTCAAAACTGAAACAAACCCATTTCGAGAAATAAGTACCACCACTTACCCAGCCAGCTCATGAGATCCGTGGAATTTGGTTTCCAAATGTTAAATCATAAAACATGGTTGTCAGACAACTACAAGGAGGAAAATAATGGTTAAAAAAGAATACTGTTACAGAGACACACGAGGAGAAGGAGAAATACAGAGGCGTTCCAGAGCCAGAGGTGCACCCACCAGCACTACTTGTGGTACGGGTCGGGTATTATCTTAATCTCGCGGCCATTTATGGAGTCAGCTGCAAGATTTTCTGCTATCTTCATCGTCCTCTTCGTTCTCTTTGGCGCCCTTATTTGCACGCGGCTGCTCAACTACACCGTAAGTCATGCATGATCATAACATTCTCCGACACCATTGTTTCCAATAATTCTTTTATTTATTTATTTATTTTTCCAGTATTTTATTTCAGTGGTGATGTCTAGAACTAGGAGGTACAATACAACGGCATTGTAATCGTACATCCGAAAATACGGTTAACATAAAAATGTGGGATCTAACATACTTGTATTACGTGCTATGTTTTTAACTGAAGAATATTTGTCACTTATCATATCATGTCACGTTTTGGGCTAAACAATTGTTGACCTCTGGACATTTGGTTATTTGCTATAGGGTACTTTAACCATATGTGTACCCTCACCACTATCCTCAATGCTTGACACGTGTTCATAGGTATAATCATGATTCCATAAATATAAAGCAAAAGTTAACTTGGTTATGTCTATGGACACGTGTCAAGCATTGAGGATGGTGGTAAGAGTACACCTATGGTTAAAGTGGTGAGCAAAAATGCTCCCATTTGGTATATAGTAAACATAGATAAAAACTATTAAGATAGTTATCTACAGGTACGTATGAGTGATTGTCAACCATGAATAAATGATGAAACCCGCGCCATTCATTAATAAATGATGATCTTTGTTTACGTGGTGCTCCATGTCACAGACAGAGACTCTATTTGGAGCTACTTCAGCTCAAGCCAGAACATCCCAATCGTACCCTCACAATACCGGTGAAATTCCCAAGAAGCCCCCGGGTAAATTGGAAATTCCACTCAACTGCCCTGCTTACGACCTCAGGGGAACTTGCCCCTCAAACTATCCTACCACATTCCACCCGGACCAAAATCCTGAGCGTCCATCACCACCCACGTGTCCGGAATACTTCCGTTGGATACATGAAGACCTGACGCCATGGGCCCGCACGGGGATCACAAGGGAAATGGTAGAGAGGGCCAATCGTACGGCCAACTTTAAGTTGGTGATCGTGAATGGCAAGGCTTACGTGGAGCAATATGAGAAGGCGTTTCAGACCAGAGACCTTTTTACGGTGTGGGGGTTCCTACAGTTGTTACGGAGGTATCCAGGACAGGTGCCTGATTTAGAGCTGATGTTTGACTGCGTTGACTGGCCAGTCATTCCATCCAACGAATATAGCGGGCCCAATGCCACGGCCCCACCCCCGTTGTTTCGCTATTGTGCGGATGACAACACACTTGATATTGTCTTCCCCGATTGGTCCTTTTGGGGTTGGTAAGACTTCTTGACTTTTTTTATTTGTAAATAATTAAGTTTTTCATTGATATCATAATGCTCAATGATGCTATTTATTTATATTGTGCCCCAATGATGTTACAACTGAAATGAACCTGCTTCTAAATTATTGCCAAAAAATTATTCAATTTGGTCTTTGATTGAGATAAACCAACCAACCAACAATTAGTTTAGTGGCATTTCTTTTTTTCAATATTAAAAGAAATTCTACATTCGAATTCCCTATTCCAAAACAATGATGACGGTCGAAAAATAAAGGAATATACCCATTGTTTAATGTGAGTGAGTGAGTGTGAATTTGCTAGCTTCCGTCACAAATGACATGTAGATTGCTCTGTTCCTTGTGTAGGGCTGAAATAAATATAAGGCCATGGGAGGTCTTGTTCGAGGAACTAGAGGAAGGCAACAAGAGGAAGACCTGGCTAGAAAGAGAACCTTATGCTTATTGGAAGGGAAATCCAGATATTGCTGAAACCAGGCAAGACCTCATCAAATGTAATGTTTCTGAGGAACATGACTGGAACGCTCGCCTTTATGCTCAGGTTTGCAACATTACCTAGCTATCTCCTTTTGCTCCTCTACTTTACATTACAATTGTAGTTAAGTAAAATATATGTTGGCTCATATATAGAACAGGAAAAAAAAAAAGAGAGAGGAGAGAATCTGACACTGTTGTCGAAAAATCGATTGCAGGACTGGGGTCGAGAATCGAAAGAAGGGTACAATAAATCAGATTTGGCAAGCCAATGCGTTCATAGGTTCCAAGATCCCACTACTGCACAGTGTTTATTTGCTTCGCCTAATTATTTACAAGTGCGCATCTTAATTATTTTTATTGCAGGTATAAGATCTACATAGAAGGGTCTGCTTGGTCTGTCAGTGAAAAATACATCCTTGCCTGTGATTCTGTTACCTTGATAGTAAAACCCCGTTACTATGATTTCTTCACAAGACGTTTGATGCCAGTACAGCACTACTGGCCTATCAAGGACGACGACAAGTGCAGGTCTATTAAGTTCTCTGTTGATTGGGGCAACACTCACAGGCGAAAGGTAACATAACTCCTTTAAGGCTTTTTCAATGTTCATATTTCTTTTTGCATTATTGCTTTTTCATTGGTTTCTTCAGGCACAAGCAATTGGAAAGGCATCAAGTAATTTAATTCAAGAGGAGCTGAAGATGGACTATGTGTATGACTACATGTTTCATCTTTTGAATGAGTATGCAAAGCTCTTACAATTCAAGCCCACCGTACCTAAAAAAGCCGTTGAGCTCTGCTCGGAGGCAATGGCTTGCCAAGCAGACGGAACAGAGAAGAAGTTTATGCTGCAATCTCTGGTGAAGGGCCCTGCAGTCAGTGAGCCATGCGCAATGCCTCCGCCTTATGATCCTTCATCTCTTTTTGCAATGCTTAGGAGAAAAGCAAATTCCATTAAACAAGTTGAAACATGGGAGAGGAATTACTGGGAGAGTCAGAGTCAGAGTAAGAAATCATAGAGAGGGTTTTTTTAGTTTATGTATACAAGTTAATTAGTTTTGAGTACTTACAGCTCAACTAACTTTTTATGTATTATTCATTCCTTTCTGGATATTATTAGCAGAAAGATTTCCCACTAAGAAAATCTGTCAGTATTTTCTGTTTTTTTTTTTCTCTTTCTTTCTATTGATCTTGATTTCAGTTGTGCTTTGTGACCACTTTGAAATTATTATATGGATCATAATTTTAATGGTGCTTCAAATCAATACTCAATTATTCTGTATTTGAGCTGGCTTCAAGAATTAAACTGTTGACTTGGATATTTCTGAAGTTGAAAACAGAGATGATATATCTTGTATTGACTAAATTGAAGAAAATGTTGTAAAAAGTTTGAAATTGATAAAAGAATTCATAATATTACATTAAACTACATGGTTGGTATGCAACCCCATACAACAAAGAAGAAAAGAAGAAGAAGAAGAAGATGGGATTTTGAACAGAAAAATGTTAAATGTAAATGTTTAGGGGAGGTGGATGAGTTTGGTTGCTTAAAGAGCTCGGCTTTTTATAATGTCAAGGCTGATTTCGCTAGGATCAGTTGCCTGCAACTCAACTTGAGTGCCATCCAATTCCCTCTTGAATCTATCTTTGGAGCTTGCATACACCATCTTCATTCTCACCTTTGATGTATCAGGGGACCTGTCAAAGTTTCATGCATAATATTAGCACCTAGACAATGGGCATTAAATTAAATAACCAAAGTTCTAAACTAATTAATTAATTACCATGCAATGAAGAAAATCTTGCTTTTCTGGCAGTTCTCGACAGTGGTGAAATCAAAATCAAAGACAGCATAGCGGCACTCATCGGCAGGCAGGGATGCTGCGAAGTCGTCATATGTTTCTTCTTTGGTACCAACCTTCTCTACCACCACTTGTTGAATCTCAATCTTGAATATAATGTATCGATGGTTTCGCTTCGCTTTTAGCTCCAAGAACTTGAGTTTGCATTCATCACTCACAGCCATGCCAGACGCCGCCTGCCCCAACCCAACATTCATTTTAGTTTTTAAGCAACAACTTACAATAATATAACGAGGCAGCAACAACATTCTTACCTAGCCAAAGAAAAGCTGAATTTCCACGAAATTATACAAGTATAGAACAAGAAAAATTTATCCTTCTTTTTTTCCGTGCAATTTTCAAACGATATGCCATGCAAGGTAGGGTACTGATCGAAAAACCATTCAGATCATGCCTCAAGAAAAGAAAAGAAGAGAAAAACAGAAGTTAAAATCAATATGTTTAATCAAAATTGTTACATGCTTGCATCTTAACCATTCTCATTCATTAGTTTATAAGTGTTTCAAATTTTCTGCTCAGCGTCACAGAAACATTGGAGATGAGAATTACATGAGAGAGAGAGAGAGAGAGAGAGAGATACCATTTTGTTCTCCAAAAAGAGACAGGGAGTGTGTAGTGCGAAATGAAGAAGAAGAAGAAAGAGGAAAACAAAGAGAGAGATGCAGAGTATAGCAGAGGGATAGATCCTTATTTTTGGGGAGCCATGAGAAGGAGCTCAGAAAATT